TAGACAGCTAAGGGCCTTGACCCTACTAATTCATTTATTTACTGGAAAATAAAAAGGCCAAACCACAGCTTCTTTTTTGAAGCTTCCTACCCTAAGTTCTGCCACCCTTACAGAGGAAGCAAAGGAAAGAAATGGTCAGTTAAAACCTGGATCTGTAAGACAGTGATTGGGAATTAGAGAGACGGGGGTCGTTGGGTTGGCATGGCCAGGCAGGGGCCCACTTACCTGCTGCAGGGCCTCCAGGACTGTTTGCCTGTTCACCTTCAACACATGCAGCCTGGCCTCATACTTGATCCTACGGTCAGGCACCACAGCCATCAGGTTGAAGCGGATGTCATGGTATGGTTCCCTGCAGTCACAGTGACAGCCATCAGAGCAATGCCCACCCCAGCCCTCCTGTCAGACTGAGGCCTCACTCCAGCAGGCAGGCAGCAGCCAGCCACACACCCAGACATCTGAGCTGTGCCTCTCCATGAGCGAGGAGGGGCCTGTGCTACCCAGGCCTCCCGCTCCCCAAAGGCTTGTCCCTCCTTGAGCCCAGCCCAGAGCAGGCCACAGGCAACCCAGGCAGGAAGGCAAGCAGTTAGAAGCCCAAGACCCAAGCCTGATCTTACCAGACACACCATGTGGTCCTACAATTTACAGATCATCTGGCTTCTCTCTTTCCCGCCCAAAGGAGACATAGTTCCAGGAGGAAACGGCAAATTGAGGGTCCTTACCCTGCAGTGGCAAGGCCGATTCGTTCCATGATGACCCGTCGAGCTTTATCTGTCCACTCCTCATCCTCTCCCCAGGGCCCTAGGGGAGAACAAGATGAGGAATCAGCAGGTGGGAAACCCTGAGATGGGGTGACCAGGGAGAAGAAGGGAAACAGATTAGTGTGGCTGAGCCAGGTCCAAGCTGGTCACATAACTCGGTGCTACTGAGTCTCAAGAACCTAAGGGCCCTGAGACCCAGATAACTAGAAGGAAGCATGACAAATCCAGCAGGCCCCTTCCACAGGATGCCTACCATGATCAATAGGGTAGACTTTCAAGCCATCCAACTCAAAGAGCCGCCCTGTGATAGGCACATAGCTGACAAAGTGGAATGCCTCCATGGTCCGCACTGCACTGAGACCATTCTGCTTCTCAGGAAGGTGACGTGGTTCTGGCCTGGAAAAGGACAAAGTCAGAGACATCCTCTACCACCCTTCTCCCATATCAGCAACCATAGCTCTCACCTACCTGGCATGGCTATTATGTGCCTTGGCCAGCTCAGGAGCATTGCCAATTGCATATCCTTTGCTCTAAGAAGAAAATAAGACTATATAAGAACAAGTTCTTTTTTCTTTCTTTCTTTCTTTCTTTTTTTTTTTTTTTTTTTGTTTTTTTTTTTTTTTTTTTTTTTTTTTTTTTTTTTTTTTTTTTTTATTTTTTTTTGGTTTTTCAAGACAGGGTTTCTCTGTGTAGCTTTGTGCCTTTCCTGGATCTCACTCTGTAGACCAGGCTGGCCTCGAACTTACAAAGATCTGCCTGCCTCTGCTCCCGAGTGCTGGGATTAAAGGCTTGTGCCACCACCGCTGGCAAGAACAGATTCTTAGGTGAGCCTCTGGGTAAGAGCAGAGTTCCAGAGAGCAGGCTTAGAGGCATTCCAGGAATCTCAAACTTCCCTACAGGGCTAGTGGTGGCAGATAAGAGCATAGGACCTCATGAAGGGATGGGCCATACTGGCTTTGCACAGTAATCAGTGGCTACTGGGGAGCAACACAGCCTGCTACAAAAAGTCAGGAGAGAAAAGGTTCGGACACAGGTGACTTAAGTCTCTTCCTTCTCTACTTCTATCATCTTTCTTAAAACAGCGAAGCCTCAATCAACCACCTTCCACATTCTTTATGAATCAAATAGATGTTAATTGCTATTTGAAAAAGAGAAGACCAAACAGTACCGAATATCATGTGGTAGCATTAACAATGGCTCTGAGGATCAGATGTGCCCAGCCAGCTTGAGCCGTGATTTAAGGCAATGCAGCATACCTCTGGACTGAAGCCTTTGGTGAAGTCCTTCATTCGACTCAGGGTGGGCCCCAGGTCCACACTGCTGCAATTCAGAAGCACGCTCAGCAAGGCATGAGTGGCACAAGAGTTGGGAATCAGCTGTCAATCAAAAACAGTCACTCATATACCCTTCACACACCTTTACCCCACGCTTCCCCAAGCCCACATTCCTTGAGAAGACAGAAAAAAAGGTCAACAGCCCTCATCAGCTTCCTTGGTCTTGCTCAGTCTTTACTCTTTTAACACAGATCAACTAAGTACCAAGAATCTAGGGACATGGAGACTATCCTGAGATACTACCCTACTCTAAAGGTATTCCCTTTCATGGAAGAGCTAGGTTCCGTCTGCCGTGGGTGCCTGCAACAAGCACTCTTGGTACCAGTCTAGCTCTTCTTTCTGCTTCCCCCAGTCACTTTCCAGGCAAAACCACTAACAACCAAAAACAAAACATAACATCCTGCCCTTCCAACAAGCTCAGAACTCAGCAGACCTGGTGGGCAAAGAACATGTTATTCACAATATCATCATCAATCACAGACGTATCATCCGCCAATGTAGAAACCTTTCGGCGGGACCTGCGTTCTTCGATCCATTTGAACAGGAAGATAAATCCATAAACAGGCCTAGAGAAAGAAGAGGCAGACGATAGTCAGCACCCCGTCTTTCTCCCACTAATCTTCTGCACTCAGTGCTATTGCTCTGAGCCCGTCACTCTTACCAATACTGTACCCGACATGTCTCTGAGACCTCACACCCAGAAGCCTATCACAGGCAATCAGGTGTGAGCTCGATACTCTGAAACCCCACTCAGCCTCATGAAGTCTAGGCAAGAGAAGGAGGAAATCTGGAACTGGTGGCCCAGGACGGAGCAAGGTGAAAACTCAACACAGGGCACAAAAGTTCTGATGAGGAGTAAGTATCAGTTCTCACTGTGGACCTCAGCCTCAAGCCCTAAAGCCTGGGGCACACCGGAACTCCTGAACCAGTCCCTTCACTTCCAGGAAAGGAAAGCAGACTTCTTGGATCATTACTGTTAGCAGGTTCCTCTATTTCACAGATCACCAAAACAAGAACCTGAGTTTAGGTACCTGAAAGGGGCCTTGTCACACCAACCAATCAAAACAGGACAACTCTTGTTTAGTTTTGTTGAGACACAGCCTCACTATTTGGCTCAGGCTGGCCTCAAACTCAGATATGCCTGCCTCTGTCTTCCAAGCCCTGGGATTAAAGGGACATACCACCCCTCCTGGTCAGGACACATTTTGTGTGGTGATGAAAGGCACAGCTCACGTGGTTATGTAATTAACGGATTGTACACTTACAAAAAAGGCACTGTGCAGCCAGAGGCTTCTCACCGCAGAACCAGAAAAGGCCGCTGAACTGTATGTACTCCAAGAGTGGCTAGGGTTAAAAGGTGGACTACTACTCCTAAGGGGAAGGGCCGCGGCGAAGACTGGGAATAAACAAATAACAGTTCAGCCGGGCAGTGGCGGCGCACGCCTTTAATCCCAGCACTCGGGAGGCAGAGCCAGGTGGATCTCTGTGAGTTCGAGGCCAGCCTGGGCTACAGAGCGAGACCCAGGACAGGCACCAAAACTACACAGAGAAACCCTGTCTCGGAAAACAAAAAAGTCCAAGGAGGACACCTACAAAGAGTGAAGCTTTCTTAGGTGACATTTTATACGACGTGGGTCTTCTAACACTGCCTCCCTTGAAGGGGTGCTATCCCCTGCCCCTCCCCAGCCCTCCGGAGGCGAGGGCCCGGCCACTCACCCCTGGCATTTACTCTGAAGATCGTAGATCTCCTCCACTTGCACCCCTTTGACACCTATGATCAGGAAAGAAGCGGTCGGCAGGGCGAGAACTCAGGGGGCACCCTTCACACTCACTCACACACACACACACACACACACACACTCACACACACACCCTTCACACTCACACACACACACACACACAGGCTCTGCAGCGAGAACTCAGGGGGCACCCTTCACACTCACACTCACACACACACTCACACACACACTCACACACCCAGGCTCTGCAGCGAGAACACACACCACACACACCACATACACAGGCTCTGCAGCGAGAACTCCGGGGGCACCCTTCTCTCACACACACACACACACACACACACACACCACACACACACACACACACACACACACACAGGCTCTGCAGCGAGAACTCAGGGGGCACCCTTCACACGCACACTCACACTCACACTCACACACACACACACACACACACACACACCACACACACACACACACACAGGCTCTGCAGCGAGAACTCAGGGGGCACCCTTCACACGCACACTCACACTCACACACACACACACACACACACACCAACAGCCGGGTCCCAATGGTCAGGGGCGGCTCTTACCGAAATCTTCCACCAGGAGGGTGAAGAGGCCTGGGTGGGACAAGAGGAGGAGGGATTGTCAGGCGGGCGCCTCCGGGACCCCTCCGGCCCCCCCAGCCCCCGGCCCGCCGGGGCCCCTCCGTACCCGGGTCACTCTCCAGCTCCAGCCAGCCCTTATTCATCTTCCCACGGGGCGGCCCCTCAGCGCCATGTCCAGGCCCTGCCAACCCCGCGCCGCTCCCCACGGGAGCGCCCACCGCCCTCGGGGCTCCTCAGCCCCACACAGACAACGGGCCGCGTCGCGTCACTAGCCCGCGCCGGGGGTGGGGGGGAGCGACGTCATCGTCCCGCGACGACTCCAGCCCGGGGCCTGACTTCCGCCCGCAGGACC